AATATATTCTGATACACCCTGTACCGTGTATATAATATATTCTGATTCATCCTGTACCGTGTATTTAATATATTCTGAGACACCCTGTACCGTGTATATAAAATATTCTGATGCATCCGGTACCGTGTATCTAATATATTCTGATACACCCTGTACCGTGTATCTAATATATTCTGATACACCCTGTACCGTGTATTTAATAAATTCTGATACACCCTTTACCGTGTATATAGTATATTCTGATACACCCTGTACCGTGTACATAGTATATTCTGATACACCCTGTACCGTGTATCTAGTATATTCTGATACACCCTGTACCGTGTATATATTATATTCTGATACACCCTGTATCGTGTATATTTGTATTCTGATACGCCCTGTACCGTGTATCTAATATATTCTGAAATGCCCTGTACCGTGTATCTAGTATATTATGATACACCCTGTACCGTGAATCTAGTTTGTTCTGATACACCCTGTACCGTGTATATATTATATTTTGATACACCCTGTACCGTGTGTCTAGTATATTCTGATACACCCTGTACCGTGTATATATTATATTCTGATACACCCTGTACCGTGTATATAATATATTCTGATACACCCTGTTTACCGTGTATATATTATATTTTGATATACCCTGTACCGTGTGTCTAGTATATTCTGATACACCCTGTACCGTGTATCTAGTTTATTCTGAGACACCTTGTACCGTGTATATAATATATTCTGATACACCCTGTACCGTGTATTAATTATATTCTGATACACCCTGTACCGTGTATATATTATATTCTGATACACCCTGTACCGTGTATGGGGTATTTGCACTCTGTACCGTGTATCTAATACCGTGTATCTAGATTATTCTGAGACACTCTGTACCGTATATATAACATATTCTAAGACACTCTGTACCGTATATATATAGCATATTCTGAGACACCCTGTACATATTTAGTAAATACTCCCACTTAAGATTAGTTTGGTGGTTTTGATCTATAATTGTTGGTCACAGTCATTCTTTTTTAAAAACTCAGTTTCAATCAGGCCGACAACAGGCCTATCTTGCAAAATTATTTTTCTAAAATGAACGTTTTGCCTCGAACTCTGATTTTCCAATCACAATATCTTTGCAACCCGATGTCTTAGACATTTAATATTTCAAACTCTGAATTCTGTTAAATCAAATAGTCTAATTGTCGAAAATCAAAGGTTTACACCATCAGGGTGCTAAAACATATATGGATAAAAAAAAATTTGAGTGTGTGGCGTAAACTCAATTCCTTTGTGTGATTTAAAGTTAATGTTTTTTTTTCAGACTTGGTTAAGATGTTTAAACTTTTAAATATTTTTCTTTTATCTGGCCTGGTACAGGGGGAAACGGTAATTCAAGTAATAATGTCGCCTTTTATCCAATAAAAATCTGTTTAATATATATTTGTTTATGAAGTTCCCGGCGTTGCCCATCGAATTTCAGAAGTACTTTAAAAATTATTTTTAAATGCTAAAATTTTGTATTTGAGCCAGTTTAACAATAATGCTTCATAAAGAATATGTCGCACATCTAGGAATTTGTTTCAGGGGCACCCTACGGCCTACCCCTCCCCCCCCCACCACGTACATTAGTTCTAATTGCACATTGTATGAATTTATATTTATGTATATATAATGTACATAAATTTTATGACTTTCATCTATGTACATCTCGAATAGAAGATAATGAAATGTCGTCTTGAAATGTATCTAAAAATGTATGAAAGCTGTAATACTTTCTCATTGGTCTGCACAAAAATAAATTAAGCTGCTGAGCTGTTCGCAGCTTTAAAGGGTTGAATGCGATTTGTGAAAATATATCCAAATATCATTGTCATAAGTTTTTTTTGATAATTCTTAAAAAACTGATTTATATTTTTAATTCAAGGAAAATGTATGGCCATATTGATATATTATACTCGTTTTTTTCCGCGGCATTTTCTCTTAAACATGTTTAGAATACGACATTATATATCTGGGATTAATTTTCAAAGTTTTAGGAGGGTTTCATTTTATATATTGATTTAAATTAATTAAAACTTTAATATTCAAATTAAAATAATTATGAAATATATTTTTACCTTTGAAAGTGTCACCCCGACCATGTTTGGCAAGGTCAGTGCACCAAGAGAAAATTTTTCGAGACTTTTGTTAAATTTACCATGTGTATGCTCCTGTCTATGTAAACTGTTCAAAGTTATTCAAAAAGGATGAGACTTCAGAGACTTACAGAATTTATTCTTTCTTCCAACATAAATCATTCTCTGTAATCGTTTTATTGACAAACCATGTAAGTTCATATACAAAAAAATGTTATAGACCTAAATCCAAACTCAACCTTCAGGTCGTCCGAAATAAAGAAGTTAAGGTCGTCAGTAAAGTCTAATCCTGTGTGTATAACCCTGTATGTCAATGGCTAATGTATGTATTAACTCTGAAGGTGAGGCAGGATGATCACTTGCTTCCTGAGTTGCCCAAAGCATTTTCTGCAGATCTCATGTGGAATATAAAGGTAGAACACCAGAAGATCTCATGTGGAATATAAAGGTAGAACAAAGATCTCTTGTGGAATATAAAGGTAGAAAACTAAAGATCTCATGTGGAATATAAAGGTAGAAAACTAAAGATCTCATGTGGAATATAAAGGTAGAAAACTAAAGATCTCATGTGGAATATAAAGGTAGAACACCAGAAGATCTCATGTGGAATATAAAGGTAGAACATCAGAAGATCTCATGTGGAATATAAAGGTAGAACACCAGAAGATCTCATGTGGAATATAAAGGTAGAACACCAGAAGATCTCATGTGGAATATAAAGGTAGAACACCAGAAGATCTCTTGTGGAATATAAAGGTAGAAAACTAAAGATCTCATGTGGAATATAAAGGTAGAAAACTAAAGATCTCATGTGGAATATAAAGGTAGAAAACTAAAGATCTCATGTGGAATATAAAGGTAGAAAACTAAAGATCTCATGTGGAATATAAAGGTAGAACACCAGAAGTTTATTAATTCCACTCTCCACAAAATCCCACTTTTTCTTTGGTCAGAGTACCCTATCCAGGTTGCTTTTGAACACCTCTTTAAATAAACATATACAGACTTGCCTCAAATCTTCAACTACAGGAATGTTCTTATAGCTTGGTCTGAAATTCTAAGTTGACGTGAATTAACTATTATACGAAAAGTTTAGCTTCCAGAAATGCAAGATTCCTAAGCTTGTTTATAGTAAACATCCTATTTTCTGGGAACATCCTGCTAGGGTTGTTAATCGTTTATAAAAACGATCTAAAAACGATCGTTTTCTTTTTTTCTAAAAACGATCGTATCCGGAATGTTTTCCATAACCTTTTTTGGATATAAGGGATTTCCAACCAGAAAATGTATTTTGTCTAAAAACATAAAGGGTTGTCATAAAAGGTCGTTAACGATCGTCAAAAATGAAAAACGAAAAAAATTAAAATCTTTAACGAAACCACACACTAAAACTAAAAAAACGACTTCTTCGTTTTTTGATTGTAAGAAACGATCTTTTTAAAAAAAAATATCGTTTTTAAAAACAACCATTTCGTTATTTGTTTTTTATTCGTCGTCAACAAAAAGAAACGATCGTATTTCACAAAAGTGAAAATGATCCATCCTTGCATATGATAAAATATGTTGTTATTAGACACTAGAGGAGGGACAGGAACCATTTACTGCAACATTCTCCATGTTCGAGACAGTGGACGAGCTCAAGACCAGGAGTATGATCACTGTTTATCAAGGTATATAAGCTTGTTCATGAATTTAGGGTAAATGATAGGACCATATATTAATTAACAATACAGATAGATAATGTCGTCTTTTCGAAGTTTAAGGGTTTTTCGATAACAATAACCCTGAGGCAGAAGCTCAAAGGAGTTCCGCGCAGGCAGCGTTGAATTACAAAACAGAGAGAGCATTCACAATACTCCTTTAGGCCTCATGCCTCAGGGTTAATGTGAACGAAAAACCGTTAAATCTTGAAAAGATGACATCTAGTGTTTGGGATTAAAATTTGAAACTATAGGATGCTATATGTGAAGGAAATCTGAAGATGAAGTATCAAGTGCCCAACCGTTTTTTCAAAGTGTAAAAGTCCCACTTAAATCGTTCCTTTTATACCTTCGTCTGATCAACGGTTTTTAAATATTCTTGTCAAAAGTGAATTATTCCAGTTTCACTACTAAAGTGACATTGAGATTTAATCATGCAGATACAAACCAGGAAAAACTTTTTTATGTTAGAAAAAATATCTCACACATTTTATCCGATCATGTACTAATTTTGTTGCTTAACACGCGCTGGGTCCACTACAAAACTTATTTTTCAGACGGGCTGGTTCTAGTAAATGTGTAAGTGGTACAAGGAAATGTGTAAGTGGTAGTAAGTCGTACAAGTAAATGTGTAAATGATACAAGGAAATGATTAAGTGGTAGAAGGAAAAATGTTCAAGTGACACACGTAAATGATTTGAAAGTGATACAAAGAAATGTGTAAGTGGTACTAGTTAATGTGTAAGTGTTACGATTAAACTAGACCTGTAAATCCTTGTACTGGTTTAATCGGATAGTGCAACGATTGGAATCACATGTCCCCGGGATGCAGGTTAAAAGAGTGCCATTGAAAATCGGACAGGCACGCTCTCTATAAAAAGAGGAAACTTGAAATAACGATAACATTTTTATACATTTATTTCTATTATTTGTTTTAGAGCAACAGTTCGTTTACGACAACAAGACAATTAATTATTTGGACATGGATCAAATTATTTGGAAACCAGACATTAGCGGAGTTAGCATATTTTTTTTTATTTTTATGATAGAAAAGTAAAAATGTTTTTATATTTTGTTTTTGTGGCCGGTTATTAAAACCATCAGAATATTTAATTAATCTTTTTAATTCCATTTAATTTAATTTTGATACTCATAATCAAATTGCAACACAAAAAAATCATAATTTTTTAAAATTAAATATAAAAATAAAAAAATATCGGATTAGCGGGGCTAAATCTGGAATATCATGTTTTGCTGATAAAAATAGGTATATCTAACGTAAAGACGGCTAATACGCTTGACACCCAAACCTCTTTTGTTGAACTAATTCCAAAAATGGTGTATGGCTAGTCAAAACTTAGAAATACAATAAAAACCGAGGAAGAAAAATCTGGTATTTTTTTACGATTATGATATTAAAAAGTGCGAAAAAGAAAGACCTGCAAAGATTAGCGGTAAAAAGCAAAGATATTTACTACAAAAATCATCATTTAAGAATATCTGTTGTCATAAATTTGAATTCCTAATTATTTAAGGTTTTTAACATTTTTTTTAGACCTGGCAGTTTTATAGATTGGCTTTTTGGGTTTGACATGACTACAGGGGAAGGAGTAAGTAAATATCAAAACAATTCAACTTTTTCAACTAGTTTTACCTTTTGCTTTAAATAAAAACAAACTAAATTTTTTGAATAAAACTATTTTACAATTTTAACTACTCTGAAAGAAAAAATTAAACATAACTTAATTTTTTGAATAAAAATATTACACAATTTTACTATTTTGATAGATTTAACTATTACTAAAATTAAAACAAACAGAAATTTTTGGATTTTTATATCACACATTTTTAACTATTTTGATAGTTTTAACTTTTTCTAAAATTGAAACAAACAGAATTTTTCCAATAAAAGTAGTTCACAATTTTAACTATTTTGATAGTTTTAAATTTTATTCAAAAAGAATTTTTCAAATAAAATTATTTTACAATTTAAAATATTTTAAAGTTTGAAACAATTACAGAATATTTCGAACAAAACTGTAATTTTAACCATTTTGCTAGTTTTAACTTTTACTTAAATTGAAATGAAACATAATAAATTTTCCGAAAAAAATAATTATTACACAATTTCAAATCATCTAAATTTCTTACTTAAAGGCTAGGACTGTAGACATACTTTTTAAACAGTATCATTAGGAGTTTAAATGAGAAAGGATTAGTCATTTGACACTCGACATTCCCTTTAATAATAATAATAATACTTTTTTTAGTTTCCAAGTGTGGCACACATGTTGCATTGGGGGGATAAAAACTATACTTATGAAAAAGATACGATCATTAACGGTAAGTTCTATTTCATAAATAATTAAGTTTGAATTTCTCTTGTCCTGGAGGATTTTATAAAATTAATTCACGTCAAAGTAAAGTAAATTTAACGCAAAATAGAAATCTTATAGTTTTTAATCATAACTACTCATCTTATAGAGCAATCATGTTTTGTAATTTTAAGATAAGACCGGATAAAGGAATTGAGTCTCTGCCACAAACTCAAATCTTCTGATCCCTATATCTTTACAACCTGATGGTGTAAACCTTTGGTTTTTCAAACTTAGATTATTTTATCTAGCAGAATTCACAGTTTGAAATATATAAAATCTACTACATTGGGTTGAAAATAAATAGGAATTATTAAAATCAGAGTTTGTGGCAATCACTTAATTCCTTTGCTTTTCTCTTAGTTGAGCGCAAACTCAAAACTGCAGGAGTTACGATGTCACAAAGTCGTATTTGCAGTAATGTTGCATTAATTTGACCTTCTCCTTGTGTCTAGTTCAGTGTAAACCAGGCCAATTGACCTTTATATTAAGCACAAGAATCTAAATTTTGAATTTTGAAAAAAAAACATGTTTTGTTATTAAAATATTGAAGATTAATTTCACCACTTTTCTCACTTTTTCATATTATTTGTTTCTATAACAGCTTTTAACAAGGTTTGGATAACGATGGTTTTCACTTTTATGGAAATATATTTAGGAATAAATGTAATATGTAATATTATTAGGAATAAATGTAATATGTCATATTATTAGGAATAAATGTAATATGTCATATTATTAGGAATAAATGTAATATGTCATATTATTAGGAATAAATGCAATATGTCACATTATTAGGAATAAATGTAATATGTCATATTATTAGGAATATATGTAATATGTAATATTTTTAGGAATAAATGTAAACCAATTCAATGGGATGTGGGAGATTCCCTCCTGGGAAGCTAAACTTAACATTAAATACTATTGGTCAGGTAACTTTGACAAAAAAAAAAATAGTTTTTTAGACCCCACCACCCACCTNCTAACCAGACTGTTTAGAGTTAAGATAAATAGATAATCACGATAAATTGGGCCGAAAGTCACTTTAAAGTTTATTTTCTTGCTCAGTGAATATTATATTCCAATATTATGCATGGGATCTGTGTATTTAGAAATTGAATTTAGCTTTTTTTGCGTTTAAAATGGTTTAAAATGATTTACATTGGGGATTTTAAATATCGTTGATTTTTCACGAATATGATTGACAAAAAACATTTCGAGAAATTAAAATAACGCCAAGATTATTTTCACTGGGCATGTCCTTGATTTTAAAGCATTTACGAAAATTAGAATAATACTTATGATAATTTCAGTTTCCAGTAACTGCGTTTTGATGAATCTTGTTTCGAGCAACTGTTCCTGCATTCATATAATTTTTAGATCTGACGAAATGGGACAGTACTTCGGGGGTTAACACTTCCTCTCCAGTCTCTGTAGACATTCAGGAACCTGGAATTCAAATATAAAAAATGAATAAACTGTTTTTATATAGTTTTCTTAAAACTGCTTTNGTGTTTTGAATACGATTTTATTTTCACTTTCCGAAATGTACAATTTCCTAAATTTACAAAATGTACAATTCTTAAATGCAATTTCCTAAGTATACAATTTTCTAAATTTACAATTTCCAAAATGTACAATTTCCTAAATGTAAACTTTCCTAAATGTAAAATTTCCTAAATGTACTTAATTTCCTAAATGTAAAATTTCCGAAATGTACAGTTTCCTAAATGTAAAGTTTTCTAAATGTACAACTTCCTAAAATTCAAAAGTTTACATTGGAAAATACTATTTGGGAATAAGTCATTTAAAGGGATCGACTGTAAGCGTAATTTCAATTAACCCTTGATGCAAAGATGGCAATGTCCGATTTACAATTGTACTTTTAAAAAGAGTTGTTTGATAAAGTATGAATTATATATCAATGTTTTTGCTTTTTCTAAACATTTATTTTTTCAATTGCGGTATCTCTGTAAAAGTGTAATGAAGCTTTCAAGGGTACTGTTGTAAATCGGGAATTGTCATATTTGAATGGAGGGTCATTTAAGATTACACTTACAGTCCCTTTAAAGGTTACTTGTGTTACGTTATCTCCAAATTTATGCAAATTATTTATTCACAAGAAAATGTAAAATATTGAAAGTTCTAAATTGGATGATTCCTTAAAGATTTTTTGTGTTCGTTGTTGACTGTATTCCCTTCAGGCAAAATAATGACGTATCCCATTTTGCAAAAAAAAGTAAAAGAAAAAAAATATTTTAGCAATAACATGTTATTTAAATTCCTTATAATACAGGGAACTGCGAAAATCAATGGTAAAAATGTTCAGCTGAATATGATACTAGACTATGCTGGATTTCTAGAGGTATTTTTAATTTTATAAGATGATTTTTTTAATTCAGTATACTTCTTCTTCAAACTTTTATTAAAAAAACAAATCAGCATCGTTTACAAATAGGATAAGCAAAAATTACAAAGTTATCCAGTGTACTGCTAGTGCATTAATTATAAACTGCTAAATGATTTATTAGATAAAAATGAAAAAAAGAAAAAAAAATTCAAAAAATGAGAAAAATTCAAATGCTTGAGTGTCCACAAAAAAGTCAGCCCAATCGGTCCAGCCGTTTGACCGGCTATACGCAACATATATCATATCATATATGTTTAATCATATATAGATTACTTATGGATTAAAGATTTATGAATTTGTTATTTGTAAATTAATAACTAAGAGATGAATAATAAAAAATGATTAGAGAAAGCAAATCAGATCGAATATCAGTATTATTTGAATTTTATTTTACATTCTTAACGTAGAACAGTTGTTTTTACTCTACGATCTAACCGATAGATAATTTTCTTTAAAACCAAATACAATTTGATATGCTCAAATAAAATCTTAATAGCAATTACCATAACTTTTCCCCTGATTTCAACATCTTCTAGAAAGTTTCTAGAATGTTTCTAGAAAGTTTCTAGAAAGCTTTTTAAAAAAGATTCTAGCTGAGAGTTAAACTTCTGTTTGTCAAAAAGCGGAAGCCGCTAAGCCAATTCTATCTTACTTTTTCCTAATAACAAACCGACAATTTTTCTTCGTAATTGTAAAATAAAAATATTCGTGGATTTTTCTGTACATTTAAACTGGTAGATTTTCCAAAAAATGTCGACAGTTTTTCCGGGAACAATTTTTTGCTTCGACCAGCCATAAACTTTTCGTCGTCATGTTAAATGTTAATCTATTTCCGGTTACGCACGATATTGAAAACACAACGAAGAGACATGAATACAGTGTTGCCATCATATTCCACTATTATTTGGTGACCTCTGCATTCTTATTTAGGTGACAGTTCCATCCTCCTTTTTCCAGCCCCCTCCTGCACTCTGGTGTCAAGGAAGAAAAATGGAAGATAAACTTCCAAAAATACCAAATCATTTCAGGTTGGATTTCATGTCGTCTTTAAAGAAAATGTTTACGGCAAAAAATTATCATTGATAATAGGTTGTAATATCTGAATGATTTGTTTGGAATTAGATTGATTTTTTACGATCCGAGTCGAATGCTGTAACTTTTGTATATGGACGCTATACGTTCTTTGGTGGGAGTCGTTTTTAACATTTTTCTCCTTATAGACGCAACAGATAAAGGTAAGATTAGTAGCGATCACTATCGATACTTGTTTGCCGTTAGCCTATACCCCCTTTCATTTTTCGCGAATACTCCCTTAAAGAAAGTCTCAAATTAATTTCAATTGGTTCTGCATTAACAGCGTGGCATCTCTGATTTATAACAAATATCCCATGAACAATTCTATCTGAGTAATAATGTAAAAAAGACGAATTTTATCTTATTAACAGATATTCAGAATATTATTACTACAGTGAGAATAAAAAACTCTGGAATAGGAAGACGACTTATTGACTAAAGTAATGAATTTAAATGAATATGAGACACAGAAATTGTTTAATGTAAACAGACCCCATTAACTTGATAAGAGGTTTGATAAGTTATTACTAACAATAGTTGCATTGTAACAACATCAAATACAAAAAAAATGTTATGATGTCGTCTTTCTAACCAGCTGTTTTCCGGTTCTCACTGTAACAAACGTTATTCTTTAAGTCGGATTAAAATGTGAAACATCCTAAAAAACCCATGCATCTCATTTCAGGCATAACGTTTAATAAAACGTACATATTGAAACCAGTTCTCTCTGGGCGGAACTTGTAAACAAGAATAGATGCCTCATTGTTCGTTTAGTATTCGAGGAGGATAAAAGCATTGAATTTTGATAATTTTGATAATTCACATAATAGTTTCCTATGAGTAGAATATTTCATTGATTATTTATGTGAAAGATGGATCCCATGTCAGGCTTCGACATCCGTCTTGTGTTTACAATTACATTACCGCCCAGCGACAGTACACTGCAGTACAAAAGATGCGTACACCTCTGAAATAACTTTCCTTGCATTAAATCCTTGTTGAATTCTGTGTTTTGTTTTGTTTTTTACAAATTTTGCTTTGTCTAGTTATGATTCTGAGATGGTTTTCAGCTACACGCTAGAAGATAAAGAAACATTCGTCATCCTACCCAGATCAGAATGGTAATGTTATTTATTGTTTTAACTAAAATAAAATAAATTTAATTAAGTTTGCACACTGTATTTCCATCTGACCAAATGAACCAGTGGGAATTAGCCAAAACAAAACTGTTCGCGAAAATTTTCAGTCGCATTTCGCAAACTTTTTTGCGAAACTTCGCGAAAATAAATGAAGCGAAAACGAAGAGAAATGCGAATGGCGAAAATTTCGCGAAAATGCGTATTGCGAAAATATTTTCGCGATATGCAAAAATTTTGTGAAAAATAGCTCCAGCAATTAATTGCTCAAAAGAATTTTCTGCTCAATATTTAAAGTTTTATAATATTATTTATAAATTTCCGCATTTCGAAAAATGCGAACATTTCGCATTTTTTCGCGAAACAGCTTGAAGCGAAATTTTTCCTTTTCGCTGGAAACCCTAATTGCTAGTATATATTTAAAATCAGAAATGGTTAATAACTTGTTTATTAATTATACTATAATATATAATATATAAAAAGTCCTTGAAAAATGAATATGATAACATGTGTCACATGTTAATAATTGTCAAAAGTAAAAAATAACTATTTTGAAACTTTTTTCCGACGTACTTTATTAACTTTTTTTAAATCGTTACGTGCACCTTTAACCATCAAAGTTTAATTAATGTTTAATTTTGATTAGGTTTGATTATGATTTAAAAGTAAGTCGCGCTGATTACAGACCCCCACAGATAGGTAAACCTATTCATATTTAAACAAAATTATTTGTAATTATTGTTAGCATGATATGATGATCATGTGAAAGTCATCAAATAATGTCGAAATATATTATATCTAATGCTAGATTTAAATCATTTTTCATGCTTTCATTTTTGTGTAGAGCTATTTAGAAGAGCAAAAAATTTTGAATTTCCTTGCTTGAAATATTAGCTGATATATGAAAATTTGAAATCTGCTCGAAATTCTATCTCCGGTAATATCGACATCACAAAAAAAGCAGACACCATGGAATAAGAATCATGCATGCAAACATAGGTAGACGAAAAAAATACCGCAATTAATTTCAAAGATCTAAGACGACAATCAAGTCTTCCTTCATCTGACATGTTTCGTGGGACACTTGTACAATATTATTCCGGAGAATACTCCAATTAAAATGATATGAATTTGATATTATTTATTTTGTTAAATGTTTAGGAAGCCCATACGAAAACTTTCACGGAGTTATAACACACATTCATGATTACAACACAGGTATATGTAAATGTAGGTAATGTGACTGTAATCGTTGTAAATGTAGTTAATGTGACTGTAATCGTTGTAAATGTAGTAAATGTGACTTTAATCGTTTTAAATGTAGTTAAAGGGACTGTAATCGTTGTAAATGTAATTAAAGGGACTGTAATTGTTGTAAATGTAGTTAAAGGGACTTTAATTGTTGTAAATGTAGTTAAAGGGACAGTAATCGTTTAAAATGTAGTTAATGTGAATGTAATCGTTGTAAATGTAGTTAAAGGGACTGTAATCGTTGTAAATTTAGTTAAAGGGACTGTAATCGCTGTAAATGTAGTTAAAGGGACTTTAACCGTTGTAAATGTAGTTAAAGGGACTTTAATCGTTGTAAATGTAGTCAAAGGGACTTAAATCGTTGTAAATGTAGTTAAAGGGACTGTAGTCGTTGTAAATGTAGTTAAAGGGACTTTAATTGTTGTAAATGTAGTTAAAGGGGCTGTAATCGTTGTAAATGTAGTTAAAGGGACTTTAATCTTTGTAAATGTAGTTAAAGGGACAGTAATCGTTTTAAATGTAGTTAATGTGAATGTAATCGTTGTAAATGTAGTTAAAGGGACTTTAATCGTTGTAAATGTAGTTAAAGGGACTGTAACCGTTGTAAATTTAGTTAAAGGGACTGTAATCGTTGTAAATGTAGTTAAAGGGACTTTAATCGTTGTAAATGTAGTTAAAGGGACTGTAATCGTTGTAAATATAGTTAAAGGGACTGTAATCGTTTTAAATGTAGTTAATGTGAATGTAATCGTTGTAAATGTAGTTAAAGGGACTTTAATCGTTGTAAATGTAGTTAAAGGGACTGTAATCGTTGTAAATGTAGTTAAAGGGATTGTAATCGTTGTAAATATAGTTAAAGGGACTGTAACCGTTGTAAATGTAGTTAAAGGGATTGTAACCCCGTTGTAAATGTAGTTAAAGTGACTGTATTCTTAATTTCAAGTGCTTAATTTCAAGCGCAATGCCCTCTTGGTATCCCTGGAAACCTTTATCTGATCAACGATGTAGAAGATATATTGTCTCTAAAATGATAATTCTATTAATACGCAAAATTATTTTTGTATGGAAAACATAATTGAAAATTAACAGGTATTAAAATTGTAAACATTGATATATAATACATACTTGATCAGACAATGATTTTAAAGAGTTTATGGCAATGAAAAACTTGTTATTTTCCATAAATGTCAACTGAAAAATTCGTGAAATTTTTGTTCTACTCTGTACGAAGAATAAATTAAAAATATGTCAATATTTCTTTTTATCTGTTAAAAATTTTCAAATTTTTTAAGTGCTTCTTACTGTTTTGAAATATGTTAAATCCCATAAAGAAGTCTAAAAAATCCCAATTTTATGTTTAGGTTTAGAATATGCTATTGATCGAACTTTTGGAAACTGCTCAATTGAGTACATGGATGAGGTAAAACAATATAAAAAAGTTAAAAATTGTTGTTTTATAATTTTACTATTTTATTTTCAGTCTATGGACGGACCAGGTTTTTAGAAAAGCATTGCAATCAAATAAAGAATAAATTTAAATACCAAAGAAGTAAAAAAAATTAAAAATTTTAAAATCTTGTTGGCATCAAAATATCTTAAACATTATATATATCATCATCATTTCAAATATACAAGACATGTAGCAACAGTTAAAATTATTTAATAAAATCAAAAAAAAAAATGAAAGAATAAACACAATGCTTGTCCTGTAAAGATGGGCATGGGCACTTCCACATGTTCAATCCTCTGAACATGTTCTTTGACGATATGCCGTTTGCTTTTAATGGCGAGGTAACATAAATACAACATCTGTTCGCTCAAAGATGTATACAGTGAGTGCCAGAAAACTTTGGAATAAGAAGACGACATTAAAACAATGTGCATTTTACGTTGTTACAAAGCAAATAGTTATTGAATCACGTATCAAGTAAAATTGTTTGTAAATTTATGTGTCTACTCAGTAGACTCTACTGTTCATTTGACTATTTAAAGTCATACCTTGAGTCTAAAAGTCCAAGATTTTCTGGTTCTCGTTGTAGCGTTTAAAAGGAGTGGGGGCATGGGGGTGGTGTTCGGTAGGGGCACATTCTGGAGATTGAAAAAGGGAAATTTACAAGAAAAAAACAGAAGCAAATGAAAAAAACCATGATTATTTAAAAAATACCGCTTTTCAGGACCAACCTTTGTTTTTTTTTTGAAGGCATCATGTATTATTAATTGTTTTAATTTATATTTCTGGTTCAGTACTCCGAGAGAGGATTTATTGTGGATTCTTTTATACATACAGGACCTGTCTCTGAGGAATCAAAGCTAAAGAAAAATATGAAATTTTTATTTAAAAAAACGTTTTGGTAAAAGGATTCACTGTGCTGGTACCTAGCCATCTTTGAGAGAAGGGTTTTTTTGAAATTAAACTTACAGTTCCTGTACGGGTTCAAGGGTACCGTTGTAAATCGGTCATGGCCATCTTTACAATGAGGTTCACTTAAAATCACGCGTACAGTCCCTTTTTATAAAGTTCATGTTTCTATCCTAGTTGTATGAGCTCTAAATCGTTGCATTTCTGTCTTTTTTCTCATTTCATTTTTTCATAATCATGCATTTTTAAATATAAAATTAATCTAAAATTCCCAAGCTGAGATTGTCTATAGCACCTGCACCCTCCCCGAGTCCAGGAGCCCCCGACAAAAGAAAACTATACAACTGTTGTATTCTTGACGTCGTCATTCTGGGAAGTAGAAAATCAGGAAAAACAAATATTCTTTTAATTTTGAAAGTTTGAGGAAAATTGTTTATTTGGAAGTGTTGTTAAGTAAAATTTCTGTAAAATGTGATTTCGTCACAAATTTGAAATCCAGCCACTTAAAATGTATTTAGAAATTGTACAAATTTTGTTATTTAAAATAATTAAAAACAGAAAATTTACTTTTTTAGAAAACATAAATAATATGGATCTTTCATCGTGACTTTAAAAATCATGTAGCCACCTTTATATATATAACCAAATATAAATATATTTGATTTTACAACCTTTTTTAAACATATAAATATAGAACAGATAATTGTTAAAAACAAAACAAAAAAGTTTGGCCGCCATATTTGTTTTTAACCAGGAACAGCAAGAAAGATTAATCCCAGCCAAAATTATTCGGTATCCTACTCTGGTAAGAAAAACATCAATAAATCAATGTGCTTGGTAATACGATTTCTAGACGATATTTGTTTAATTCTTGATTAAGAACATGATCTAGTAATGTGTGCAAAAAAACATAAAGTATTATCAATGTACAGAGTGTCCCCAAAAAACGTGGGAATTGAGTGACAATTTTAAGATCGTNAATATTTTGTTTATCGTTCTCTGACATCTGATAGAATATTTTGTTTATCGTTCTCTGACATCTGATAGAATATTTTGTTTATCGTTCTCTGACATCTGATAGAATATTTTGTTTATCGTTCTCTGACATCTGATAGAATATTTTGTTTATCGTTCTCTGACATCTGATAGAATATTTTGTTTATCGTTCTCTGACATCTGATAGAATATTTTGTTTATCGTTCTCTGACATCTGATAGAATATTTTGTTTATCGTTCTCTGACATCTGATAGAATATTTTGTTTATCGTTCTCTGACATCTGATAGAATATTTTGTTTATCGTTCTCTGACATCTGATAGAATATTTTGTTTATCGTTCTCTGACATCTGATAGAATATTTTGTTTATCGTTCTCTGACATCTGATAGAATATTTTGTTTATCGTTCTCTGACATCTGATAGAATATTTTGTTTATCGTTCTCTGACATCTGATAGAATATTTTGTTTATCGTTCTCTGACATCTGATAGAATATTTTGTTTATCGTTCTCTGACATCTGATAGAATATTTTGTTTATCGTTCTCTGATATCTGATTGAATATTTTCTGTAATAAAAGATTGCTCCTCTAGAATTCAGCGCTTTTCATCAATTAAAAACATTTGACCCTGAAAAAATGTCAGAATCGACAATTTCTCGATATTTTTACATTGTAATATATTAATATCTTATTTATTAATTGTTTAATGTTAATGAATCAGGATTACAACATGCCCTCAGGGTCCAGATTTACTTCCAGCTACTTCAATTTTAAAACAGATAGGTGAAATAAACAGTTAATTTAGTTCAAATCATATTTTTGTTTTGAAAATAAGGATATGCTAGAAATCTTGAAAATAAAAGTTAGTCACATATTTTCTTTCTTTAATTTTTTTTTTATATTTCGAGATGAATTTTTGATTGTTTGTAAACAATTTTTTCTAATCTAACTTTTTAATCCATTTTTTCTGTGATAATTAATGAAATGCTGTCAATTATGTGGGACATTAATGTGGGACATTATCCATGGATATGCTTGGTAAACAGGAGCGTCCTTCTCAATTTCATAGAAGGATGGGTTGACTTTTTATAATAATAATTATAATAATAATATTAATAATAGTAATAGCAATATTAATAATATCCTAGGCCAGATCCTCAGAAGTTTGATATCACTCCTTGCTTTGATGATAATTCGAAGATGCATTTAATAGTGAGTACTTTTTGCAACGAGAACATTTTCTTAAAGGGACTGTTAGCGTACTGTTAACACCTTTATCTGATCGATAATGAGATAGAAACTAGGTTTTCTTAGGTTGAAAAGTGTTCAATTCTGACAATTCCATTATGTTTTCCTGTATAGAAATGCGCAAGTCACTTTTAAAGAAAAACCCCTAATTAAAAAAAAGTTTTTAAAATTTAAAATTAAAATTTATTTAAACTTGAGCAGACAAAGCTTTCTAGTACCATTGTGAGTCGGACATTACTATCTGTGCATGGAGGGATTGAAGGTCTGTAGACCCCCTCCCCCCTCTAGAAAGGAGTAAAGTGTCCGATTCGCAATGGTACCCTGTGATCTCTAAATAAGTACCAGTTAAGAATTTAGCGCTGTTTTCTTTATCTTTTAAAGGGAATGAAAGGGGTATAGGCTTACGTAGAAAAATATTCGATGATATATTCGATGCAACTAACCTTGATTCTATCTGTTGCGTCTATAAGGAAAAAAAACGACTCATACCGTTGAACGTAGCATCCATAAAAATTTAAAAGTTGTAATATTCAACTCGGATCGAAAAAAAAATCAATTCAATTTCAAACAAATCATTCAAACTTTTTCGACGCCTTCGAATATAGTTGACATTTCGTAATATATTACATTTTTTTAAAATTCAATGCACATAAAACAAGGATTTTTTGTCCGCTAGGTGTGTCTCTCCCACGTGGAGCCATGCAGAAACATCGAGAGCAGAGACACCTGGCGGCCAACAAATCGTAGTTTAAATTGCTTTGAATCTTTTACTAAGAATTGGCAGAGATATTTTCGGTGTTTAAACATCCATAAAAATCTGTGGTCACGGTTTTATAAAGACAACAAGAACGTTTTCTCCCATTAAAAAAAATGATTATATATTTCGTTTTTGTTAACAATCCATTTAAAAATATTTGTATTAGATGAGATTAGGTTGGACTCTGGATATGGATATAGAGAACACTATTGGACTCTTTGAATTAGAGACAAGGAAATCTATTGTACTGGCTGGCAAGATTACACCTATCAGAGTACAGAATATAGAGGTAAATATTGTACTCTGTGTACTATTGTACTGGCTGGCAAGATTACACCTATCAGAGTACAGAATATAGAGGTAAATATTGTACTCTGTGTACTATTGCACTGGCCGGCAAGATTACACCTATCAGTGTACAGAATATAGAGGTTAATATTGTACTCTGTGTTCTATTATACTGGCTGGCAAGATTACAATTGTAATAGTACAGAATATATCGTTTAAAAAGTTTACAGTATCTTATTTTTCCGGCCTTATAATTTCAAAAAGAGAACACACATATTTTCCTTAGGGACCTATTTTAATGAATTAGAAAGATAACTCCTAAAGCCGGTTTAAATCCTGAATTACCGATTCAAATCCCCGTGAATCGGGGATTCAAGATTTGTACCGGCAGTAAGTAGTTCATCGATCAAACACAAATTCATTAAATTCGGTCACAGGCTAATCAAGCTGAAATTTTTTAAAAACATCTTTATGAAAGATTACATGAAAATGTCCATTTACAAACTTCTATCAGAGAAACAATGCTTGGAATTGTATTGCATATATTTTCTGAACATTGATTGACATTGATTTTGTCCAGTTTGACATTGATTTTGTTCAGGTTGACATTGATTTTGTTGAGGTAGACATCGATTTTGTTCAGGTTGACATTGATTTTGTTCAGGTTGACATTGATTTCTCCAATAGTGCATTCTTCATTATCTTCACAGTGGTTGCATATCCTCCAGGAGTTGATTATGAACTAAACGATAATCCTGATGCTTTTAGACCCTTACAAGAGGTAAAAATTAAAGGGACTGTAAGCCAAATTGCAAGGGAACCTCCATGCAAAGATGGCAATGCTTGATTCACAACAGTACCCTTGATACATTTACATATTCAATAATGTGAAAGATATTTTCGTTTTTCTAGGTTTCAAAGAGTTTATTTCTTTTAATTTCTACACTTTTTTTACAGTAGAATTGTAGAGAACCCGTTATCAGTTATACATTGAAACATTGATAAACATTGAAATCTAATTTATTCACTTGATCAAAGCTTTTAAGAATACCGTTGTGAAGGCAGTCCCATTAAAGTACTACAGAATTTTAAACTGTTTTTTAGGAATCAAGCATTTTTGGATTCTAGGTTGCTTTGCTTAGCAAAGCTACTTTACAACTTTATATAAGGTCATAAACTGAATACAAGTAAACTGAGAGAGACATGTCTATACATACGCTGTTTTATAGACATTCATACATTCCGTTAGAACAACATGTTCAAAAGACGTCCATGTCGTCTCTGAATGTTTAGCATTTATAAGTAACCAATGTAGATCAACTCCGGCCATGTATGAATAAATTCCGAACTAAGAAATGAATCAGCATACTATCACGATTTTTCCATGATTTTTTCACAATTTTTTTCACGGTTTTTTTCACAATTTTTTCAAGATGTTTTAGCGAAGTTTGTTCAGGTGAGAACAAATTTAGAGACTGAGATTAACAATGGAAGGTTTTCAATTCTTGTTTATAAAAATGACGGAAAAGGAGATACAATCATGGCGATGGCAGAGGTAGGATTTAAGAAATGTGCCAGATCGGTTCAGCCGTTTTGACGTTTACTGGATACAAACAGCCAAACAAACAGACAAGCAATGCATGACTTATAGATTTCCATGAAAGGTCCCGCATTGGCCTAAACAATCGAATAAAATCTAGTGCTACGGTTAATAAGCTAGGCCATAAAGAATATAATGGCTCACGACGATACAGATTATAATTGGCTCACAACAATAAAGAATATAATGGCTCACGACGAAACAGATTATAATTGGCTCGCAACAATAAAGAATATAATGGCTCACGACGAAAAAGAATATAAAGGCTCACGACGATAAAGAATATGATGGCTCACGACGATAAAAAATATAATCACGACGGTAAAGAATATAATGGCTCACGACGAAAAAGAATATAATGGTACACGACGAAAAAAAAGAATATAATGGTTCACGACGAAAAAAAAGAATATAATGGTTCACGACGAAAGAAAAGAATATAATGGTTCACGACGAAAAAAAAGAATATAATGGCTCACGACGAAGAAGAATATAATGGCCTACAACGAAAAGGAATATAATGGCTCACGACGAAAAATAATATAATGGCTCACAACAAAAAAGAATATAATGGTTTACGACGAAAAAAGAATATAATGGCTCACGACGATAAATAATATAATGACTCACGACGAAAAAGAATGATAAAATTAATTTTTAACCACGTCATTGTCACTAATTAGGTTTGACACCTAAAAATAAAATAAAAAGTCAGAACAGTATAAAGCGGAATGAAAGTCGTCTTTGTTTCATTTATTAAAAAGAAATGTATGCAAACAAAGTTGTTTTGTGTTAAATTGTTAAAAAGCTGTTTTCGAATTACAACTACAAAAAGTATATCAAGGAGAAGCTTTTTATTTGACAGCTTCTCTTGATTTGTATGCATGTGTAGCCACTATCCACGCTGTTTAACAGCTTTTGATAGAAACCAAAATTAAAATCAAAAGTCGTCTTCATTGTATTGCTACTTGCGAGGACGACTGTTCTTGGAAATCAAAGTTATTTAGTTCTATCTCCCAAAAACAATTTTTCTGAATGACACAAAATCGTAAATTCTTCAATTTAATATTTTTATAATATTTTTAGAAAAATTCTCTGCAAGATATTGGTTCAAGGATTGACTCTGGTAGTGGCAGCTATACATACAAAGTTGGGTATTCGTCTGGAGCTATGGCAGCTTGTGGTATAATTCTGCTCCTAATTACAGTCGGGGGTTTTGGTGCTCTTCTTGTTTTTGTTCTCAAGTTATAATAATTTATAAACTTTTTAGTGGTTGGCGATTACATCAATACAATGAAGGCAATATTTATTTCAGTTTTGATTTTTTACAACTTTTTTTCGAATTAAAAGTTCACAAAGAAACTATCTCAATTGACAACTAAACTCTTTGTTTCCATGATATTTAAAAATATGATATATATCAAAATTGAAATAGAAAGTCGTCTTCAGTATTACATTTTAAAGAGCATATTGTTTTTTTTTGGAAATGTTTTCTGTGATATTTCTCCTCTAAGTATAAAATAAAATAAAAGGTCACTTTAAACAAGAAAGCGCATTATTTTTTGTAATACATTTTTTTATTTAATAAGCATGTTTGAATGTTAAATAAATGATATGATTGATAATTTGTCATCTACAGGGTGTCCCACGAAATATGACAGTTGGTGAATAATTTTGAATATCTTCTCCCATAACCTGTATTAACTGTTTATTTGTTTTCAGTTTATTTACTTTAAAATAATATTTTACTCTAATACTCCTTTACTATAATATGACTGCCTTGAAATATTTTTATTATTCTCTATGGTATCAAACAACTTAAAAAATTATTGAAGACGACATTTTCACCCCGAACTAACGAGAGAGAGAAGCATTCGGTTTCTGTTATTTGAAATCAAACGTGTTTTCGTCTATAACTCAACAGTCTTTTATAGACTTACAGATTTGTTTGTTTTATACTTTTTCATTCAAAATGTATATGCCAACAAAAAGATATTTTTGATAAAAGGCTATAAAATTATGTAAAAGGGGTCAAATTGTGATCGAAAGTCACAGTTTTCTGAAATATTGACAGAACAGAACCGTTAAATCCACGTGTTTTAAAATATTCACCATCTGTCATGTTTCGTGGGACACCCTGTATCAGAAAAAAATATTTGAGGGACTGTAAGCTTAATTCTAGTAACACTCTATGCAAAGATGGCTCAACTCCGATTCCGATTCCCTTAAAAAGTATGAATTAGTATAATATTTAAAATTGTGGTTTCTCCAAAACAGTGGCTTGCGCCTTTTTACTTCAGGAAAACACATTTAGCCTTAAAAAACTACTATACATTTATCTATCTACAGGGTGTCCCAAAAAACATGGGAACTCAGTGACGAATTCGATATCGTCTTTGTTATGAATTAGCATTGTAATACCTAATTTCAAAAGCAATAATATCATTATGTCTGCTAGAGTTTATTTTATGAAAAGGGTAAAAGACTGTTAAGATGTGTCTATAATGTCTCCGCAAGATGAACAGTTAAGACGGACAAGTTTACTCTGTTTGTATACTGTAATTTTCTTGTTTTACTAAGTACACACTTATATGCAGTCAAAATATAAAAAACAAATTTTAACTATAACAGACGAAACTCTTACAGACTAGAGCTTTCTCAGTAGGTATCACTATACTAAATCAAAGAATTATTTAAAAAGACGATATCGTATTCGTCACTGAATTCTCATGTTTATTGGGACACCCTGTATCAGATAAGAATTTTGCGTGAGACATCTAGCGGCCAAACTATCGTCCCCGAAAGTACGTGCACTTCACGACCACTACTTACACGTTTACACACTATTATGGAGAGAACGGGCTCCCTGAATACGCCTCTGGATGATAACATAGATCTGTTTTAAGAAATTTACAAACATATTTTAAAATTGAATAAGATTTGAAACAAAACTTAGCAGTTTTAAAGATAAATTCCTTCAGAATTAGAAGTGCCAGGCAAAATCAATTGAATTGATTAAGCGACTAAATAGTATTTACATTTAAACTACATAGAAACGTACAAAAATTTTTGATTTTAAATCGCGAAAATTTCGAAGTTCTATCTGAAGACGACATTTACATGGGTCTTTAGTCTAATATTTCTAGTCCTACTTTCCAAACGAAATCTTTTCATGAAATTATTTTCAAACCAAATAAAACCTTATGGCCAAACCTGTCGTCGTTGCCTTAGTCTGTTCCACTTTAGTATTTATTCACTTTGATGGAACGGGCTCTGATCAGATAAAGGTTTAAAGGTATGGTTGTGAAGATCGGGCATTGCCATATTTGCATTTAGGGCCACTTGAATTTTTTTAGAAATAAATATAATTTCAAATGTTATTAAAATCATACATTTATTTATGAAATAAAATAAAGAGTTAAAATGTGTTAAAGCAAACTGTTACAAAAGCAATTATTCTCTTGGATGTCGTCTTCTCCTTACTCGTCATCAGCGAAGATGTCAATAACCTGAAATTAAATTGATCATTAATATTTTTTGAAAATTTGTATAAAATACAATCAAAGCATACAAAGTTTCTTCCCAACAAGCTTTAATTCAAGTGTTAACCCAAACTAAAGCTAAATATTTTTCAAAATAAAATAATTACCTTGGCCTTTGATTATAACCTCACTAACTTAATTATACTTCTGTGTAGCCTTAGCCATGTACAATTTAGTGCTGTAAAACGCTTTTTTTTAGTTATACGTAATTTTTTGGAATTGTAATCGAAAGAAACTTCATCGATTTTAAAAAATTAAGATTATAGATTAATTATCATTATTCCAATAGCCATGCACATATAATTTAACAATACAAAAATAATCAGAATAAAGCTAGCGGCATCAAGTCCATAAGAACCCTAAAATTAGTACATATTAAAACATCTAAAGTTAGTTTTGAATGATTATTTTTCCCAACGACTTATAAAGCACAAAATCTTAATTTTGATAATATTTGATGTTTAAAATTTTTCAAATCGGACAAAAAAAACACGCTGATTATGAAGAACGAACTTTTTGAGATTTCGCACAAACTAGCACTATTTATTCAAAAAAATTTAGTTTTGTATTTTCTGAAAATTTTGGAAGTTTAAGCATGTTTGATCAATACTTTTATTAAATTCCAAGAACTGCACCAACCTACTTTGGCAAAAATAATCTGTTTCTAGAGTGGAAATATGCAATAAAATAATCTGTTTCTAGAGTGGAAATATGCAATAAAATAATGTGTTTCAGAGTGGAAATGTGCAAAAAAATAATCTGTTTCTAGAGTGGAAATGTGTAAAAAAATAATCTGTTTCTAGAGTGAAAACGTTTAAAAAAATAATCTGTTTCCAGAGTGGAAATGTGTAAAAAAAATAATCTGTTTCTAGAGTTAAATGTGCAATAAAATAATCTGTTTCTAGAGTGGAAATGTTTAGAAAAATAATCTGTTTCTGGAGTAGAAATGTGTAAAAAAAATAATTTTTTTCTAGAGTGGAAATGTGTAAAAAAATAATCTGTTTCAAGGGTGGAAATGTGTTAAAAAAACAATCTGTTTCTATAGTGGAAATCAATTTTTTTTATAACCGCATTTTTTACTTGAAGAAATACACAATGAACCCTATAACCGATAGGGCTATTTTTGTCTATATAAATTTTGCCCTTAGAGTTGAGATAAGATACGGTGGTACACATATATCTCTATGAGTCCAACTTTTCAAGGCCAGTTCATTGGAAAAAATAGAGGTTAAAAAAAGCAAGACAAATTTCGAAAACATTTTTTTCCAGATATGAACATGAGACTCATATTGGAGCCCATACAAAACATATCGTCACTAAACTTATCATCACAAAACTTATCAAGCTACAAAACTTATCGAACTACAAAACTTATCAAACTACAAAACTTATCAAACTACAAAACTTATCTAACAACAAAACTTATCAAAACAAAACTAATCAACTACAAAACTTATCAAACTACAAAACGTATCAAAATCAAAACTTATCAATAAAATTCATAAATCTAAATTTACAAATCATGGAAATGTTCCAACATTTTTTTAAAAAATCGGCAAATTTTAATAGAAAACTCGGTAAATTTTTAGTTTCCCAGCCCCATTCAACCGAGATTGAGGCTAATTTTGTTCTCTCACAGAAGAGTACAAACTTGCTGAAGGATGATGAAAATCATCTGTACAACAAATACAAAGAGAACAAGAACAAGACCTGAAGGCTATGTGTGCAAGCTTTGATACTGTACCCTTGAACACATATCTGTTTAATATTGCCAGCCTATTTACAGATGAAAAAAGATTGAAGGATATTTTGATCCTTTTTCTCATTTTATTTGTCATTTGCTAGTTTCAGAACAAAAACATTGACAGAAACCAATCTCTGATCTAGTTTTCAGAGTTCTGTCAAGGAAATTTTAGAACAAAACTATTACTCAGCATGGTTTTACTGCAGTGCAGGTACAATTTCAGTTATTTAAAATAAATATAACAAAGACGATATCGAATTCGTCACTGAATTCCCATGTTTTTTGGGACACCCTGTATCATACCTCAAAAGAATGATTTCTATTCACACGTGCATGGCAACGTGCAAATATTTAATTATTTTTTCTGGTCTAAGATCACTGAGAAATAAATCACATTTAAAGAAAATATATTAAGCAAATGTTGCAAAAAAGTGACTGTTCACTTCGAAAGGAAACTTTTTTTTTAAAAAGGACTGGTCATGATGATATTTTGAAGTTTAAAACCTGATCCATCTCAGCAAATGCTGACTTGGTGATAAAATCCTGACTTGCTTGTTCAGCATTCTCGTCCTTCAGGAGTCCATACATGTCCTTAATAAGTGGGATTTCCATCTGGATCCGTAAAGACCTTTCGGAACCTTTCCTGAAGCTGTTAAGAATGGCAGACAATAAAAACTTTTGGATCTTAAGGGAGGAACCTTTATACCAGACTTTATATAAAAATGATCTTCCCTTTAGTTTTGGTAAGGGGTTGGACTATATGGCACTTTTTTTGATAAAAATGTTCAGATCCTTTTAGCATGTGGTGGTTCAAATTCATAATATTCAGCCTAGGGGATTAGAAATTAATTTACCTTAATCAATCTCTTCAGCTCCTTTTTAGTGATAGTTCCGTCACTGTAATTATAGAATAATTATTGTCCCAGGTAATAATTTTGCGGGAAATCCGCGGAAATTCCCAGAAATCTTTCACAGGAAAATCCGGTGAAATAACGACAGCAATTCCAAGGAATTTCTCATGACCAGGTCTGAGGAATTTCTTGAAACCCATTCTGAGGAATTTCTCATAACCCTATCCAAGGAATTTCTTGTAACCAATTCCAGAGAATTTTTTGTTACCAATTATGTAGAAAACTCGGAGAAAATGTCGACAAAATTTGGGGAACTTCTTGGGAATTTCCAGCGAAAAGTTCTCCAGAACCAATTCCTGGGAATTTCCTGGGAACTATTTCCAAAGATTTTCTCAAGAGTTCCTCAGGAATGT